CTCTCTATCTTGAAGAAATATACTTTTATACTATCTACTTCTCTCCGTTTCTGTTAAAATACCATTTTCTGCTATTCCTTCCCTTCAATGATCCTTTAAAGAAAGCTAAATAAAGCATTACAATGATAAAATGTCCTTATGTGTCCCTGTCACTTAGAGCTCAGGGGGCAAATCTAATATTTGCTAGCAGAATTTGTGCAGTTTTGGCAACTGAGTCTTTAATTACAATTTTATTAAGATGCTTGGTAACTGCTTATTATAAATACACGAGGGAATGTAAAAAAAAAAATCAAGTCAACAAACTGTCTTTACTTAGACCCAAAGTCCTTTTTCAAAGTGCTTCTTTTCAGTTCTCAGGCTGGTTTGAGAAGTGACTTGGCACCACTTGGTCAACCCAGACCTGATGCTTCCTGTCCCGAAATCTGCGGTCTTCCTTTCCTTGCTAAAGTGTACAACAAAGACAACAACCTCCACACGTCACCTGAGGTGACTAACACCTCATCTGAAATGTGACTTTCTGCCGGGTGTGCCATGGTAGTTGGCAGCAAGCAGGACGGCCCTTAGCTCCATGCAGAAGGTGTGCAAATACAGCTTGCGTTTCATTTCATCACGAACTAGCCACTTTCAAACTACCTTTTAAGTAGCCATGTATTCAGAAATAACCAACATGACACATTATTTGGATTCAAGGTATTCTGGAACATAACGTTTTGACTGTACGTCCTTCTAGCCTTTGCTCTTTGATTTTGTAAAGCTCACTATACTTAGACCTCTCCAAATTTTCCAACGTGGAGAATTTCTCTTTCACACCTAAGCTCTTCATTGTTTTAACAGCTAAAGTTGAAAGAATAGAGCCTTATTTTATTCTGATTGTCAGCTCAGTTTGGCAAACAAAGGTTAATCCATCTTGTTAAATATGGATTTAGAGTCTATTATTGAAAGACAGATGTATATATTTGGTGTAATGGTATGATGCCAAAGATGTAAACACGCCAAACCATGTTTTTCAGCCACCATTCATAAGCAGTTTGTTTACAACACACACACTTTTTGACAAGGAAGAAAAGTATTTTTAATACTTTCCTCACAGAATAAGGACAACCTAATCCTAGTGATGCCCCTGACTTGTGGGGAAATGTTCTCCAATGCATGGCCACACCCAATACTTGCCAAATGGATGGGCATGGAATTGAATTCCTGTTTCAAAGAAATAGAGAGCAGTCAGACTGTGACTCTCTACTGACCCTTCATGTAAGACATCATCCTTATACTGTCCGGTTAATAGCTCGTGAGAGCATGTAGAAACAGCCTGGTTTCCTAAAGACACAGGAGGTGTGCATGTATGCTTGTGTTGGGAGGCGGGGGAGAGAGGGAATGACAGAAAGAGTCAGGAAGAGATGGAGGCGGCAGGCCGATTGTGAATGAGTGTGTACGGCAGGGAGCTGGTGGGGAAGCCTGGCCCTCTACTCAATTTCCCCTTCACCAGGGATAAACAGGCAATTACGCATCCTTTTATATTTGATGGCCAAGTGCTGAACTGGAAAGCACACTATTAGTTTGTGTCCCTTCAGGGCCAGGGCAATAAGCAGCCAGGAGAGCGGGGGCTGAAGTAGAGAGGGTGTTGTCCGCTGTTAGTGTGACAGTCTTGTCAGCAGCGCTCACATTACTGGAAGGTAATAAAGTGACAAGTAAGTTATTAGAAAGATATGAGGTGAAATTGAACTGAAGCTTCTTGCTGCTCGGCCCTGGCTTTTGCCTTTCCTCTTTGTAATGGTCTGCTATTTGTTACAAACTGAGCCTTGTCCTGAACCCTATAGAATTTTTTTTCCTGCAGTAAAGGTCAAATGAATTTACAAGAACACTTTGGAGAAGAATTAAGATAGTTTTATGACAACTATAGTGTGTTGCTTCAAATATATGTTTTATATACATATATATATAATTATAATGAACAGTAACACTGACTCAATTTAGTATACTTGTAAAAATGTTGGACTTTTTTAGCCCTCTGTTATTCGGCATGTGGAATTTTGAAAAATAAATGTCCAGAGGACAGTATCTGTCATCTAATTATTGCAGAGGACTGTAAAAATAATTCTGTGTAAAATGTGGGAAGACTGTGGATAAAAGGACGAGAGGACGGCTGGGTGTGTGGACAAGAGCATGGAAGATGACCTACTGGTCAGCTGTACTAACAGGCTCTACACACTATCACTATAGTGAGGGCCTCTGCAGTGATGGGAAGGGTGGGCAGGAGCCTGGGGCAGATCAGATATATTCTAACAGCCACAGGCACAAGAATGGTAACATTCTGAGGGAAAAAAGAAACTAGTTGCCTCTGTGCCTCACCGTCCATTCTGATGACAAGATCACAGCCACAAGGTTTTGTGATAACTGTCTATATTGCTGCAGTATGTAATTGCAAATTACTTGCATGTTCTCCACTCATCACAATCAGAAGTAGGTTTCATGCTGGGTGGTAGTGGTACACACCTTTGATCCCAGCACTCGGGAGGCAGAGGCAGGTGGATCCCATGAATTTGAGGTCAGCCTGGTCTACAAAGGGAGTTCCAGGACAGCCAGGATTGTTACACACAAACCCTGTCTCAAATAAAACCAAACAAGAGAAAAAAGAAGTAGGTTTCATCACCGGCCTTTAATCTAGGTGACTCCTTGCATTTCTGTGGTCCCAAAGTGACTCTGGCCTTCACTTCTCAAAAAGAAGAGCAACCCTAAAACTCACAACTGCCTTCTCTGGCTATCCTGATCCATAAAAAACATCTTAAGATGCTTGTAAGTCCTTCCCAAGATGTGCTCAGTGACTCACCTGGTCTTGGGGTACTCTGCAGGACACTGGAGGATGTGTTGGCATCCACTGTAAGGCAGGACTGACTTAGAGACTTGTCTCCTGGACAAACACTTGCAATGCATGAACTGTTTTCTTTTCCAGCTCCCCTCAAACCAGGGCGGAAGCCGACTCTCTGCTACAAGAACTGCAGCCTTGCCAGCGGCTTTAGGCACCTGCCTTTTATTGGCACCTCCTTGCTCATTCAGATCCCTCCTAAAACCAAACACCAAGAGGGAAAGAGCGAAATCCACTAATTTAAAGAGTTCTAGTTCGGGGAAAGGCAAAGTCATTAAATTTGTCGTAATTTGAAAAAGCTCTAAAAAACAGTGTGGTCACAGGACAGAAGCTAGGCTCTCTCCTAGGTGTCTTGCTCCTTTACAAGAGCAGACGCAACCGGTCCGTCTTAGGACAGGTGGATTCTAGTCTGTCACTCAATGTAACTCAATGCCTGCAGACTTGATTCAATCAAGGACTGCTCAGGCATGTGGTGTCCATCTCAGTCTGATTCTTAGCTTGTCTGTGTTTGAACTGCTGAGGGTCCCCATTTCATTCACTTGCCTGGCATATTACACGGAGTACAGAGAAGAGGTGGAGGATACCGTTATCCTAGGTGGCATGTGTAGTTCCTCCTGCATCCAACGGAGGCATGATTCTAAGCCAGCCCATTCTTCGTAGATTCAGCCTTCTTTTCCTCCTAAGAACAGTGTGCGCACTAATGGGCTGTAACTAGTTAAACATCCTCCTCCTCTTACTGGAAAGGCCTGGAAAGCCATGACCAAAGAAGTCACACGACCTGGATGGTGACAATCCTAGGCTAACACTGGTTTCTAAAAGGATGTTAGTCACACTGAGAAGGAAAATGTTTATACATTGAAAACCCCAAGGAAGGATCTGGCTGACCAGGGCAGCGGCACTGAGCCTGGGATGAGCCACACTGAGCTGGTTTATTTAAATACCGTTACTAGCAGAACAAGAATGGCAGGCTCTTTCATCACGCTTTCCAAGCCAGATTACTTCTTATCTTTTTCCTTGCTCTCTTCCCCCCTCCCCAGAGCATGCAGCTATTCCCCCAAAGTGGACCCAGCCTTTCTAATATTTACAAAAACATAGTTTAAAGTGATCAAAATAGTATACTTCAACATTAGCTGGAGAACATGCACAACTAATATTGCCTAATTATGTACCAGTGATAAAACTTGGGCAAAAATCAATCGAATGGGAGAAAGCTACTTGGATGAAAACCTATGTTCCTATTCATTTTCAGCTAGACAAGGATGGATGTAGCTAGAAACTGTTTAGGGACAGGAAACTTGTATAAATGAACAGACAAGTAGGAGTGGGCAGAGGTGAAGAGTGTGGCTGGTCAAAATGCTCATCTCCTTATCCTACCTTTTTGCATGTATGCCTTGGGGCTACTGTCCTCAGGAGAAACAGTGGTTAAGCCGAAGAAGCACTGTACTCAGGCATGCCCGAGAAGGAGCCACGCTTTGGGAGCAGAACTGGACATCTCATGAGTCTACATTTCATGTGTTATATCCACTGACTTCCCCTGTCCCTTTGAAGCGAATAGGCTTTATACTGGCATATTTAGTCGTGAAAAGGCCACCACAACAATGGGCACATGAGCACACAAGAGACTTACTTTAGAAAAGTGCCAGCTGCCCAGGTCCTGGTGCCGTATCTAAGGAACAGGGGTGCATATTAGAGTCTGCCAGCAAGGGAAAGGCCACTTCTGGAATCTCATTACTTCTGGACCTTTTCTAGCTGGCCACAGACATTAGCCAGGTGTGTGGCAAGTGAGAAATGCTTGTTCGGAACCTGGGTTGTTGGCTGAGGAGACTCCTGACAGCTAGCGGTGGTTCACTCAGGAGGACCAGTTGACATTTTACCCGACATTCAATTAAACACACTAAACACTGATTTTGTAGAGATGAATTCTCTCACATCTCTAAGAGTTTCAACAACACTTGAAAGTTGTTCCAACATAAATGCATATTAATGTTCACAAAACAAGGTGTAGGTTAGTCTGCACGCAACCTAAAAGACAGTTTCCGTCCTTTCTGATGAGATTGTAATAATGTTTCAGTCCTCTTCGAATCCAGCACTTGATAATAGACAACAGCGCAACATAGAGAAGGCTAAGAGAACCAAATGTTTGCAAACAAATGTTCATTATTCTCGTTCAGTCTTTCACAAACATACTGTACAGAGGCTTGTATGTTATAAAACAAAGGAACACATCTGTTTGTTCAGTTTAACACGACACCAACGTAAAGCAACTAAGCTTTGGGAAAATCAAAGGTACAAGGAAAGAGAACAGTTAGTACGAATTCCTCAGCTTTTTACGTAAACATTTGTCACTAACAGACATTGTATGAGAGCTTCTTTTGTACTGCAAATGCTTTTGGTCTTTCCTCGCAGTGGAATACGTGTGAAGGACCCAGGGGACCCTGTGGCGTCTTCAGAAAGAGACAAAGATAACGCTTTAGGAACACCTAGCTCATCTCTAAGAGTCTACTGCTTGGAAATTCTCAAAAATAAAAAATCCGGAACCCCCAATGCTTAATTTTGGAAAAAAAAAATAAATACTGTGAGGTACAACAAGTTGCACAGGAATAATAACAGAAACATATCAACAGTTTCCTTTGGCAAATTTAACGGAAGTGAATGCTGATGTGAACACAGAAAAAAAAAATTATAAAACATGAAAATGGAAATGATATAAAAAATTGAAACAAAGGGCATTTCTAAGTTTTAGACTGTTGGGAGAAATGTTTGAGGCCATTAAATGCAGAAAAGAAATACATTCTCTATTATGTAGTTTGACAAAATACTAGGGTTTACCCCACCCCACCGCCCCCCCCCCCCCAAAAAAAAAGAAAACAAAAGACAACAGAACCCCCTCTGCAAGCACACCCCAGCAGTTCTGGCTGTAGACGAAGTTGAGTAAATATCATCCTTTAGTCAGTATGCTGTGGTAGCTGAGGCTGCCGATGTGGTTAACCAGCTCAGGCAACACTGTAAACATCAGAAACAAAACAAAAAGGTTTGGAGCAGTCTCCCCCCAGCCCACCCCTTGTTCTCACTCTCAACTGCTTGGTTTCAGGCTTCCTTTCATTTCTCTGACAAATTCGTGTGGGGGAACACAAAACACTACACAGTGAGATCCTGTCTTCCTCTCTCCTTCTCCGGCTCGCTCGCTCGCTCGCTCGCTCGCTCGGAGAGGAGTGCTGCTCAGTTCAAGTTCAGCACGTGTTTCCAGAGCTCCCAAGAACAGTGGCTGTGAATCGGCTTTTGATTTGGTCTGTTAAGCAGGCCTGACTTTGCAGTGCTACTGCAGAATTTGGGACAAAACGAGACAGCCAGACAACAGACTAAGCCAGCTCACACTTTTTCTTCCTTTTCAAAGGAGAAGGGTTAGGGCCTTGGAAATGAGTGTTCAACTCTTACTGTATTCAGCTTTGTTCTTTAGTGAGTAATTCGGGCTATTGTGTCCTGAAATATTATCCTGCCTCTGCAGAAGAAACGCCTTGGCTGTTTCACACCACCTTATTTTGTTTTCCTTTTATGTCAGTTAGCATGTATGGAGGAAGGATGCAATATTGATTCTAGTAACATTCGGCACTCAAAAGAATCACGTGGTTGGGTTTTTTTTTCATGTTTTGTTTTTTTTTTTTTAAGCGGTTTTCTGGTGGCCAAAAAGTTGGCCTGTGGTTGTGTGAGTGACTAATCATATTTTCTTTTCTGAAAACTTGTGCAAAGTTGGCAGTTCTGTGTTAACACCAGTACTCTTTGTTTGGCATTTGTGCCCTTTACTGGCCAGATCATTTTTACACAAATGGGTTGTTTTTGTTTTGTTTTGTTTGAAAGAAAGATACTCACTGAAGTATGGCGATAGTTTCAGGATAAAAAGAAGCACGGATATTACACATCCCCTTGTAGTGTCTGAAAAAGTGCATGGCTGGGTTTATGTACTAGTACAGGACACTAAAAATCAGGTCTGTGCTGCGGAGCATGCCAGCACGTCTTCATCACTCTATCTAACAGGGAGTCAAAACGAGACCATAGGAGTTTTTTTGTTTTGTTTTGTGTTTTTTTTTTTTAAGAAAATGTGCATTAATGCTAACAAAAATGAATAGAACTAGCCAGCAAACTATTTATTTCCTGCATATCTAACAGCTGGATGTAACTGTCAAAACTAAAGAGAGTTCAACAACAATCAATACAACTGTTTTACATCATTGGCCTCTCAAGGCTAAATATTTACAGGTGAATCTGCCATGCTTTAATTAAAGATTCTCTCAAAACCTTAAAGTTCACAAAAGACAACTATAAGAAGTTCCTTTTTGTTTCTTTTCTCTTTTTTCCCTTTTATTTTTTATTTTTTTGCAGGCAACAGTCATAGGTACAACAAAATGTCTCTTTGGAGAAGACCAAGAATTATTCTATCAAAATTGGGGCTAGTTGAACACCTTATATGTGTGTTCCTGTGTGTGTTTGTATGTGTTGAAAGGGGTACTTCTGTTTTTACCCCAAGTAAAAGATCCACCCTCTCCCAAAACTATAAAGGAAAAGAAAAAAATTCAAAAGCACCTAGTGTTTATCATTTTTATCTAAAGAAAAGGAAATATGTGTGTGCACAAGTGTAGACATGTACACATGTACACACACATATGTGCCCCGCTATGGGAGCACACACTGGCTATGGCAGTTCAAACATGTAGGCCATCTGGTGAGAGCTGGCATTTGGAGTGTCCGTTCTGGGACTAATCTATGGAAGTGAAGGGGATGTTTTTGTGGAGGTTAGGGTTCTGACTGTGCCGATTGCGGCTCCGCACAGAGGAGAACATCATGTTGCAGCCTGGGACTTTGCATTTGTGCATCTCTCGCAAATGCACAGTTTTGTAGTGGACCCTCAGAGTCCCCTTGTTGCTGTACATTTTGTGGCAAATGTTGCACATGATCCCACCGTTGCTCCCAGACAAGCTGCTGAACATAAGCGATCCCGAAACTTCGGCCCCGAGGCTGCCGGGGAGGGTGGGGGCCTCAGCCTTGTGTGCCGATTCCCCACTGTCACTGGCCCCGTCAATGTCATCAAGAAGAATCCCCTCGTCGCTGCCTGCATCGGATTCTCTGGAGGAATGGACACTGCTGCTGGACTGGAGGCTGGAGGTGGTGCTCAGGTCGAGGACCATGTAGTCCTCCGCCATGCCTCTCCCATACCCATTCAGGTGGGAGTCTTCTGTCCCTGCGGGAGAGGAGGCATCTTCCCTGACATCGAGCCCCAGAGGGTGCTGGGCACCATAGATCTTCATCAAAAATTCATCCCGGAGGTCCTTGCTAAGGGAGGGCTGCGATGAGTCCAGGCCCATGTCATCGAGTTCTTTGGTCAACAGTTTACGATGCAGGTTTATGTTGGCACTGTGTCTAGGAAAATAAGAGGGAAGGGGGGGAGGCGCACAGGGAGTGGGGAAGGGTGAGAAAAAGGAGAGCATTTTAAAATTGATTCAACTTTCATTAAGCACCAAATAAGCACATTCATTCCTAATTACGCCATTATAAAAGCAAGCATTCCCTACATCCTCGGGACCTGGGATTGAGTGCAGGGGGAGGTGCAGAAAGGGGAACTTTCCATTGATGTAATTTTTATGAATAAGCTCTTCTAGGGCGGGATGAATGCACACTCAGGCACTCTTTTCTCAATGGCTGTTCCGTTAGTGCATCAGCCACAGAGGACCTCGTAGCAAATGTCATATACATAAAATTAGTACAGGATAATAAACATGAAAAAGGGTAAAAGGATGGAAACTCTCAGTTTGTCTAAATGGAATAGCCTACATTTTACTTAAAATCAGAAAAGAACAGCAAACAAGCCTTTTCTAGTACAGCAAATACTGTGAAAAAAATCTGCATTTTTAAAAAGTCCATGGTCTACATATTTAGGTTTAACTTAAAAAAATCATCTTCCCCGTTCTCCTATATTTCATGTTTTAAGTTTAAGAAAGGTCTCAGCAAATTAGTAACAAAATAGTTAAAAGGGTGTTTTTTTTTGTGTGTGTGTGACATCAATCTTTTTTCAAACCTGTCTGGAACCCCACCCAAATCTAATAGCAAAAATATATTTAGTTTTTCAAAAGTTGCTACATTTTAGTATTGAACTGTCTTCATCAAATAATGCTACTTTTAAGGTTTAATTCTTTAAAACATAATCTGATAAATTATTTTATAAAAAAAATCTCTACCTCCCCCCACGAAAAAATCCAAAAGGATAAAATAAAAGTAAAAAAAAAAAAAAAGTCAAGCACAATGACATAGAGTCCCTTTAGCTTACAAACAGAACCCTTGACTTTGACAAGCAAAGCGTCACTGAGAGAGAGCTTTGCTTGCGTTCAAAAGGTTGAGATTCATTCCCAGAGCATCTACAGGGACCTCATGACGTCCAAAGCCCATGTCACTGTTTATCTGAAAACATTGCCTTTGTATTTACACCCCCCACTGACTTTTAAAGCACCCTTGGGCATATACCTCTCTCCACCTGCAAAGGCTCAGATGTTTGCCAAGTACCTAAATTGAAAGCTACCCTCCAAAAAACAAAGTGATAAAGAAACAGGGAAATAAAATTTGCCAGCACTGGATGCTGGACATCTTTGAGAAGTTAATTGTGATGATAGAAATAACCTAAATGGCCAGCATTAAGTTCATGAGCCCTCCTGGTTAGATTCAGAAGTCACTCCAATTGGGAACAAGCATGGCTAATATTTCCTAGAGAAGTGTGAGAGGTATGTGCCTCCAGGGCAAGAAAGGGGGGAGAGGCTTCCCACCTTTCCACACAAGACAATCAGCACTCTGGGTTGAGGGGTGGAGGGTGGCAACCCTCTCCACACTGCACTTGGGAAGGCTGCGCTTACCTTGTGACAATAAGATCAGCTTTCTAATCTTTTGCTAAATCGATCACAAAAGAAAGCAAGAATGAGAGACAGAGAGAGAGAGAGAGAGAAAGAGGGAGAAAGAGAGAGAGAAAACAAATTCACATTCTAGACATCCGGCTTTTGAAAACTTAAACAATAAAATAGGGATTTAAAATGTTGTGATCATAAAATTATTTTCTGTCATAAGTGATCATCTCATATGTTGTCTTGATTTTCAGATCACCTGCATAATCCAAAAACCATAAATCAAATCAATAAACCAAATTCAGAGCATCAGCATCATCCATAAATGAGTTCCAAACAGATGCATGCAGTGTGTGGATCCATGAACGTGGATAAACAGAAGCTGTCTGTCCCCACAGGCCTGTTCTGACATTCCCCTTTCCCTGGCGTCAGATGTCAGATGACTCAAGTGGATGTTGCTAAGCAGAGTGCAGGAAATGCCTACTGGGAAGTCTTTCCGATGACACGTGGGGAGACACCACCAGGGTTAGAACAAGAAGGAACGTGGAAATAGTTAAACTGTGTGCCACTATTCTATTGATAAAAACAATCTGCCAGCAGTAAGCAGTTCATGAAACCCTATCCTCATTCACTATTTTTAACACCCCACCCTCTTTCTTAGTTTCATTAACACACATTTGACTGCAATCTAGAACTCTGTGTTGTTTCTCACACATCTCTAATTACCACTTCCTAGGTTCACTGCTGAGAAAACAGCAAGCAGCCAGACACACAGAAGCTGCATCAAGACAGACTGACTGAGGAAGACTAAATTAACATTGACAAGAGGGCATACTTATCACCCTGATGGACACCTCTCCCATAGGGTGACTCGTGAGTTTACACATCCCCACTGATATGCTACCAGGAAGGGATTTGCTCCTCACTTCTCACGTACAGCAGGAGAAGTCTGTAATCTAATTAGATGATGTACCAGCCCTCAATAGCTGTCAACCAAACGATGTGCAGAAATGTGGAGACCAGCTCTGGCTCTCCACTCCACAGTGTCCCTTTTCCGCTGTCAGCAGTACTGTTGGCCTCTGTTAATATAATTACATTGACTTTTATTCAATTAAGTGCCATCCCTCGCTTACAAAAAAAAGCTACTTTATCAATTGATTCAGGTGTAATGTAATAATAAAGATGAACTCATGGCAGTGCATTAACTCTGCTGTTCATAACTTCAGTGCATGGGTTCATTCACGGCAGTCGATTTCCATTATGCAACCACAGTTCAAGAGAATTGATTCTTTTATGTTCATTTCTTAATCTATTTCATTTTTGTTTAATAATCTTCCCAAATGCCATATGCAAAACACACGGCGTGGGTACGAGGATAATGGGCTGGGGAAAGCCTGCTGCTTCAGCCCCATGCCTGGGACTTGGGGGTCTCGACTGTCACGGTGTTGCTGGGGTGGGAAGAAGACGGACAAGATGAGGGAAGGCTGGAGACACTACTGGTCCTCTTCCTTCGGAGGTTAGAGTTCTGCCTCTATAGAATGGACAGAAGGCAGCACTTGCTTTTCCCAAAGACCTACTGTTAGACCCACCGATCAGTCAACCGAACCACTGACTGTCATAAAAATGCTGTCCTCATGAGATACAAAGACCTAAGGTTAACAGCAATTTGAGGAATATTACAGGTTTAATTGGATCTGCAAAACTGAAGAGGTAAGAAGAAGACAGACAGACAGAAAGAACTCACTGCTGACAATCGAACAGATGCTGAGGGAAAGGGAAGCCTCAGATGGGAGCGGGTGACAGTGTGCTCTAAATGGGAAGATCCCAGCAGGAGGATCTGATCGCTAGGGATACACATGCATTGTTGGGGAGAGAAAGAAACCCAGTGTTCCAAACATTTACCTTGAAAAAGAAGTGAGACTAATAATTAGCTAAAATTTAGACCACATAAGAACATGAAGAATATAAACAGCCATTTCTGTTTGCTTTGAATAGGCAAATGATACAGCTATGAAGAAGAAAATTATTCTCACAGGAAAAGAAGAGACAGATATAGAGTTCATGGGTATAAGGGTAGGGGTTCAAACACTAGTCTAAAATTTAGCTCACACTTTCAAGAATATGGACGAGACGTAAGTCAACCTGTGGTCGATCAAGTAGAAGGCCCGGCACATAGGAGGTAGCCATTCAGTAAAACACAGCCTTCCTTCAGGATGCAGAGGATGGTCCTGAGATAGAAGCATTTTCTCTGTCTTTGTAAAATGACAACAGTGATGGTGGAACATCAAGACTCCACTACAGTGTAAGGGACATGACAAAATGTAGGTCCAAACCCTCATCTAACCTGGGCTGAGCATAGAGTTACAAATGTTCTTTGAATTTCTGGCCTCAACACCCAGTCTGCCAAAACTTAAGAGGTCACACACAAAAATCAAAATGAAATAGGGTTTTAGATGCAGGGAACAGTGTCGATACTTAAACTTCTGTCTTATTTGGAATGCTGAATGAAAGGCCTGCCTGTCACTGGATGCATAGTTTCCTGTCCTTTCTGTTTCTTGGAGGAGAATGTACCCGTACAATCACAGAACATGGAAGATGTGTCAAATGCCACATGAGTAAATGCAAGAGCCCTGTGGACAAGGGAAGCAATGCTGTTCTGGGCTTTGTTCTCATGACTCATTTTCCCCACTTGCTCAAACACCCAGGGTGAGCTAACACAACATTTTACAAGCAAAATTTTAAACAAAAACAGAGTTTGAGCTTGGCTTTTAAATACAGGGGAAGAACAGGTAGTTCTGTTGTTAGTTACCTGTTTTTAAGAAAAAATCTTATGATCAGGTTTGAAAATCAGACTGAGGCAATGTGATGGTTAGTCTGGATCATGAGCTTGCAAGCTAGAGACATCTAGAGTCATCTGAGAGATGGACCCCTGAGTATGTCTGTGAGGATTATCTTAATTAGGTTACTTGAAGCAGGAAGACCCATCTGCTGTGGGTGGTACCATTCCCTTGGCTGGGAATCCTGGGCTTATAAAAGGAGAAAATAAGCATCCACGGCTCTCTGCTCCCTGACTGGATGCAGTGTGAGCGGCCCCTTCAGGCTTTTGCTGCCCTGACTTTCCTACCAGGAACTCTGAGGGAAAGAAAACCTTGCTTCATGAAGTGTCTTTCCCAGGCATTTTATCAGAGCAACAGCTAGTCAGAAACTGGTTTCACAAATTCACAAATCAAGCCAATACTTAACTCTTAATTAATTTTGTGCTATTCCAAGCACAATTTAATTTGTGAATTAATATTATATAATTCTTTGGGTAAAATGGAATTAAGTCCACACTTTTGATTTTTTTCTATCTACTTTCTTGTTATCTACCACAAATATATGCCAAATATTCTCAAATAATACTGTCTAAAATGACCACAGTGAAATGTACACAGTAGATTGACAGATTGTGTGTGTGCGTGCACACGCGTGTGTGTGTCTCTCTGTGTGTGTGTATGTGTGTGTGTGTGTGTGTGTGTGTAGTCATCCCTTGGT